TAATAACCTGTCTAACCATAACTTATCCTGTTTTGTGAGCTAGTTATATAATTCTGATAAACGGCACAATTTTTATCAGTTGCTTGATGATCAGTACATAGTTTGGCTTGATACCTATTATTATACCTTACATAGTTAGAACACAATTTAATGTTAGACTGACATGCCCTTGTAAAATGATTGTCCGAACATTTAGAACAGATCGGGTCGGATTTACATCTACTAGCAAAGTGACCAAAAGCAAAGCATTTGAAACATTGAATAATATTCAAGTGGTTACTAACAGAACATCTTTGCCACCCTATATAAATAAAGCCAGCATTAACTAATTTTTTATGAAGTGCTGGGGGAACATCCAGAACATAATTGTAACATTTGTCATTTCGGCGATCTTTCAGTTTGATGACTACTTTTACATCGGATTTTAGATGTTCCCCAACATCATTCAAGGATAATGTATTATTTATTAACTTTTCATCCGAGTCTAAATCTTCACTGATGCACACATTTTTTATAGTTAAGCGAGGATTCAGTTTTTTCGAGGGATGATGCGATATTTGGACTCTAAACTGGTTTTTAATGCTTCTTCCAATTTCATACGATCGCTCTCAGTTCTGCAGTACACAGCAGCCCCAATCTTTATTAGTTTAGTCTTGTCGATGCAGATTTTGAAATTGGCAGGGTTGATAGATGCCGTGAGTGATTTCATCACATCATTATTAGAAACAAGGCAGCTAAGTTTATCAAGGAGCTTAAAGCAAACATTTTGCACAACATGCTCCATCTAACCACTCCCGGTTGAATTTGAAACTGTCAAAACTTCGAGAGGAAGGGGAAATTCCATCTGTTCCGGCTCCGGTTCACTACGGGATCTCGCGAAAAAATCTCTTCAGTCATTGATTGATGATTTAAAAAAAGAGGAAAGAGGAATCTCACCACAATTTCCTCTTATTTATAAAAAAGGCGTGGCATCGCATGTGTTATAAATTAGTGAAGCAGTAATAAATTAGAATTTGAACAGTAAAACGTTGTTACAATATCATCTGCTGGGTGTACTCCCGAGCTGGCCATAAGGTTAGTAATGCTATACAACTCTACTAGAGCGCTATTTGTGGAAGAAATTGTAATTTGGTATTTGCAGTATGTTGGCTGTTTCAATGTGATTAATCCAAGATTGGGGAAAACACATTAATTTCCCGAAGCTACCAAGTCACTGAAGCTTTCAAAACTTGTAAACAGCGACCTTACAATCAAATGTTGAATTTTAAAAGTACAATATAATGAATATCAATCATTATTAAAATATTCTTTTAAGTATTGCACCTCAGACTTAAAAACACCACAGGAATTGGTAATAATGATAACATGGTAGGTGGCTGGGAAAATTGACGCTGAATTCCACTTTAGCGCATATCCCATATATTCCATTCAACCATTTTAAAATGAAACATTAGGATGTAACTTGTACGAAACCTCTGTTTGCTATTTTATAGAACTTTGAAGTTGCAGTTTGGGTGGTGATACTCTCAAATAGAATATGTTTTATAGGCTGTTTTCTTTGCTTTTTGCACAAAAGGATGCTCTAAATTATAAGAATATAACATACTCTGTATATTATATTGTGATCGCAATAATGCAAAATTGCATTTTTTTCATGGTGAAAATAGTTTATTGTTAAGTGGTAACGTATTTTAGTTGAGATAAACATTCCCATCACTACACCGCCATCACTATTATAATTTCTCCATTAGTTGCAATGTTGCCAAATCACGGATAGTTAGTGTCGGCTAATATAGTAAAACCACAGTGAAACAAATGAAGGGTACAGCGGAAAAAGATAAATGTCGCAAATTTGGTGTTTTATAGTTAGAACCGGCAACATGTAGTCTTAACGCAGTACAATCCCGCGAGGTATCGGAAACATGCAAAAATTCATCCTGATGACATTCGCAGAGCGACGAATCTTGTTCATGAAGTAAGAAATGCTCTTCATGAATTCCGCAATGAGCAATGGAACGACTTTCTGGCGGGGATGCTTGACTCAAGCATTCCTCTCTGGAAGGTGGCGAAGTCGCTCAAAAACGGAAAGCGTGAACAAATCCCACACATTCACGGTCCTGGAGGCATTGTCTTCAGGACAGAGGAGAAGGTTGAGGTTTTCGCCGATGCCATGGAAAGACAGTTCTCTCCCAACTATGATCTTGATAATGACCTCGACGAGGAGCAACACATCGTAAGATCTGTCAGGAGATATTTTAGGGCCAACGGCGTCAGTGACAGTCGCGCATTCGTTGGTGATTTTTCTTCATCAGAAGATTCTTCTTCAGAAGCTTCTTCAACCGAAGATTTGCTTAGCACATCAGCGGTATCTCCTGAGATCCCGCATTGCACACCAGCAGAGATTCAAGGTCATATTAAAGATCTTAAAGTGCGTAAAGCACCTGGGGAGGATCAAATCACTAATAAGGCGCTGAAGCTGCTTTCGCGGAAGTCCTTAACTTATCTCGTGGCAATAGTCAATGCCATGCTCAGGATCCAGTACTTCCCATCCGCGTGGAAGACCGCTGAAGTTATAATGATTCCAAAGAAGGTGGGTTCGATATTTCCCCAGGATTATCGTCCCATTAGCCTGCTGTCAGCTGCGTCTAAGCTCGCTGAAAAGGTGATTCTACGTCACCTTGAGAATTTCTCGTCAGATCACCATGTGATTCCTGACGTGCAATTCGGTTTTCGGTCTGAACATAGTACGGAGCTACAGGCGGTTAGGCTGGTGGAACGTGTAACCAGAGGATTCACCCTTAACGAAAGTACTGGCATCTTGCTTTTGGATGTCTCAAAAGCATTTGACAAGGTGTGGCACGCGGGCCTCTTGTATAAACTAATCCAAAAGGGCTTCCCTTTTTGGCTTCTAAAACTACTGAAATCCTTCCTTGAAGGTAGGAAATTTCGGATCAAAATTGACAATGTGCTGTCGACAACACGGCTGATTACAGCCGGCGTCCCTCAGGGTTCGGTCCTTGGACCTATCCTTTACTCACTGTACATCCATGACGTCCCTAGTCCCAGCAACTGTGAAGTCTATCTCTATGCTGACGATACTGCATTGGTGGCTCAGTCGTGGTCTGGTGACCTAGTCCATGACAGGCTGCAAAGTGCGGTGGAAGAAGTATTAGATTGGGCGGATCGGTGGCTAATTAAAATAAACCATTCGAAAACGCAGGCAATCTACTGTACAAAAAGACGTCGCGGCGTTCCGTCTGAAGTTTCAATGAATGGACTTCGTATACCATGGGAATCCTCCGCTAAGTATCTCGGTGTCATTCTGGACAAAGGGATGACTTGGCGGAACCATATGGAAGCGCTAAAAACTAAATTCCAAATTACGTTTCGGCAGCTTTACCCATTATTATGTAAACGGTCAAAATTAAGTTTGATTAACAAGATTCGACTCTATAAGGTGGTCATAAGACCAGCAATGACATACGCATGTGCGGCTTGGTGTTTTATTGCTAAAACACACATGCGAAGTCTGCAGGTTCTGCAAAGCAGGACGTTGCGCACTATTGCTGATGCCCCATGGTATGTCTCTAACGAAACTCTACATAGAGACCTCGATGTCCCTTACCTAAAGGACTACATTAAGCAACAGGCGCAGCGGCGCTATAGCCTAGCGGAATCGCACAGCAACCCTCTGTTGCGTGATTCAGTGGACTACACAGTCGAGCAAGTTCGCAAGCACAAAAGGCCGCGGCTCGCACTGTAATCAAAATTAACTCGTGAACTTAGAACAACCAAAATTTGAGCATTTTTACACAATCTTTAGAAAAAATCAAATATTTTTAGACCATATCAAAATCTGTGAAGCGATTTTAACAATGCCTAAACGCTGCATATCCTAAACGATTCTCTTCTTCCCCTTTGCTCTCGTTCTTCCTTCTCTCCTTTCCTTCCCCTTTTTTCCTTAAAATTGTCTGGTTTCTGGGTTACCAGACCTGACAGACTTACAAACTGACACTGTGACTCAAGAGCTAAGGTCCCACGGACCGCTCTGACAACCAACGATGACTTGACATGCAAAAATGTGCCCATAAACAATGACAGTACGTCATATTGTCACAGCCGTTGTATGAATAAAAAGATGTACGTCCACTGATCATCACCGAAACTAGTAGCTACCTAGCTACTACAACAATTTACCATACACCAATCTGCGACAGAAGAAACAAACTTTAAGTGATCATTTTTAAGCAGTTACCATTAATTTTGTTTTGGTCCTATATTCTTTTTTTTTTGGTTCATTGTTTTTTCCTGTCCCAATTCTCTGAGCTATTAAGGTTAGAAAATCACCTTTTTCTCATGTTCTAGGCGCTGTGAGTTCTCATATTAGAACAGATCGTAAAACCTAAGATAAGCATTTTGCTGGTTAATCAACCAATATCTCAAAAGACGTTGAATCAGGCATGGACGTCGCTAGCATAAAAAATGTTTGGAATCATCTGGAGAATCAGAAAATACAAAAATGAAAAGGATTTTTCATTAAAAATCGTTTGGTCTGCTTTCACTTCTGGGCTACCCTTTATATCAAAGATATTTTTCTATTTATGATTAAACTTTTTCAAATTTTTTATAATAAGTAATCTATATTGTACTCCATTATATCTTTCACCCACCCTGTACAACGAGTCTAGGAGTTTTCAAACTTCTAAATTCACTTTTCTCGGAACTTACTTTTTGTGACATTCATCTTTTTCCACACATGTCGCGAGCGAATTACAATTTGATTTGGTTTGTCAAATTCTTACTTCCTAGGGCAAAAATGTGCAAATTGGTTTTATTACTGACGTCAATTTGACGCTAAGTCCCATGGGGAATGGCGACTTATAAATTCTGTCCCTTGACGTTTCGCGATTTTTTTTCTGACTAGATTCTTTTATGCGATTTGTTTGTAAGATTCTGTTTATGCCAGCCGCAAATAACCATTAAGCCCATCACTAGCATAAACGTCATTCGTCAAATCTGTTGACATTTTTTTTACAGATGCCGTTTGGACGTGTATTTGTTGCTATATAGGATTTTGAAATTCGTTTTGAAGGCGAACATAATCATATGTCTACCGAAAAAGCAGCTAGGGTATAATTTTTAGGTAAATATTAATGACAGTTTATGTACTCTTCAAAATTACTCCCTTAGCTAGCTCAAAAGCATGAATTGACCTAAATCTTGATGTATTGATCTCCATCTTGAAGATTCGCCAGCATAAACTGCTGTAAACAAGTTACAAAGGATGTAAAAGCGAGTATCTACTGGAGAATTTCATACAAGAAGTAAGAATTTAACCATCCGCAACTTCTCTGTTCTAAAAAGTAAAAATCAATTGTTTGTAAAAACCTTATCTTTTTTTTCTCCATACACTATTAAATCGAGATATATACCAAGTTTGTATGTTGCAATATCCTTTAAGTAGAATCTATCAATCCAAGCATGTGGGTAACATCATACATTTTTGGTACTTCTCCACATCAGTTGATTCAGCAATAGTTCAAAGATAATAGGAAGGCATCTACTATTTTTTATTCATAATACATGGGAGAGAGGCTCCAATATTTTTTATAGAAACCATTTCATTTGATAGCTGCATTATAAAAATCTCTACTCATGTTCGTGCATTGTGTTTTTGAGGCAACATATTTATTTTATTGTTTCATAAACATAATAACTTGAGATAGAAATTCACTTTGTTCCATAAATGTGTGAGATAACTTATGTCATATTGCTAATGTTTTATATTTCAGGATATTCATCGCGAATAATCTCTACCATGTCAAAGAGACATGCAGAGGAGGCCTCAGGCTCTACAGCCAGTCAACCTCCAATCAAAAAGATTCATTTTGAGCCACATCTCATTGGACCCGTGTCTACTTTGGAGGAAATGGACATCAAAGTTCTACAGTTCCAAAATAAGAAATTGGCTCAAGTAAGTGTATTGCTTATTAAATCTTGTATTCACCATATAACGTATTTCATTTAATATGTGTTTAAAATTTCACAGAACATCAAGACAAACAATTATGTTCTCTCTTTTCCCAATATTCTTCAAACACTTATTTTTGCCTATCAATGTTCAGTGACATTTAAACACCCAAACTACTTTTTTCTTTGCTAGAGAATAGAGCAGAGATGTAGGACAGAGCAGGAACTAAGACAGAGAATAGAGCAGCTAGAAAAACGTCAAACTCAAGATGATGCAGTGTTAAATGTTGTTAATAGATACTGGAACCAATTGAATGAAGATATCAGGATTTTGTTGCAGAGATTTGATGCTGAAACAGCAGATGAATCAGAAAATAAAAGTAAGATTTTACTGTTTTATACCCAACAAATAAAGTCACAAATATTCAGGGAAAAATTATTAATCAACAAGATTCCGTTTCAGTCTGACACAAACATTTTTATGCTCTTTAAATCTGTTTATGCTCTCATGTATGGTTATTGAATGCTTTTTACTTTATTAACATTAATCAAATTCAAGCAAATAACCAAATGAAAATGTAATTACCATTTACCAATCCATTCAAGTGAGTGTGGTTATCAGTTTGTTTATAAGATCTGGGACGTCATGAATCAGCTGTTATATGTCATAGTTATCACTGCAAAATTGTGGTATTTACCCAACTCAGGAGTAGTTTTATATTTCTGGTTATTATATGAATTGTGACAAGTTAGAATTTTGCCAGGTATTGGATATTTTTGTTGTACTTCAGCTTCATTTTTGGGAAATTTGATACAGGCTGACTTCAGTTGTAGCATAAAGTAGAGCACCTTATTAATTTTACTCATTACTGTTGTTGGGGATACTTTAAATCTAGTTCCTATGCTTAACAAAGTATCCTGTGTAGCCATATACCACAAGAATATTAAAATATTGCCTTATAACTCACTGGATTATGTCCACCTGTATATGGTTTGACTAATATCTTTTTTCATCGCTTTGTCCTATAATTTCTGCTAAATCAATAAATGTTCTCTTTGACATGCAGAAGTTTAGAGAATTGAAAGTTATCATTGCTACAAAGCCATGGTTCCATACACTAAAAATTATTTTCTTAAAAAAAAAACATTTCTCCCATTATTATTATGAAAGGTTTCTTTTTTAAACCTTCCATACAATGTTGTTGATTATTAAGTGATAATAAAAATAATCAGAAATTATATACGCGCTTTTCTAAAATAAACAACTTGCAACAAAACCGCGGTTAAAACCAACGCGTTCAAATCGAGTGACTGACATCATCAACCCGTGTGTCATCTTAAACACAGGAATTTTGATTATTCGGTTGAATTTGATTATAATGTTGGATATTCCTTTCTTGTGTGAGGCATATTGTTATAGTCTGATGCAGTCATTTTGTTGTATAAACAAATCAGTAATTGTTGTGATTCATAAATGTTTGACATAACTCGTGGTTCAAGCATTGATAAGATTTAGATTTCTATGGTAGACATTAGTCACATGCATTCTGTTTCTATTAATATATTTTGTTTACCTAGACTACATGAAAGAATGTTAGCAATGAATAAATGCAATCTTTTGGTTCCATCAAGTTATCTTCTGGAATCTTTCTGCCTACATCTTTTACTTGGGTGAAACATTTTTTAGAAATTCTTTAAGCACAAACTAATATTCTAATTTTTGTTTTAGATGAGAATGAGGCAACCACATCCTTTTTGATGCAACTGTCAACATGGGACAAAGATGAGTTGAATGACAAGCTTGCCAATAGAGTGCAAGTATCCAGAAGAGCAGTTGCAAAGGTGATTCAGGCTTTTGATAGGCTTATGCAAAGAAATGAGAAAATTACTTTGGCATTGAAAGGTGAAATTGAAGGACGTAAGTATATGTTTATTTCCCATTTTTGCCACATTAAGATTATGATTTCTCTGTTCAGAAATGTATGACTAGTTTCCCAAATAAACAACACACATTTTTTGACATTGACATTTGTTTGACACCATCATGAATCTGTTAAATTATCATATCTTACAAAATTATAAGTCTCAGCTAAAAAATGAGACCAAAGAATGCTTCAACATTCATTTATTAATGTAAAATTGGGATAGGGTAATTAAAGCATACTGGTTGAAATGTAGCTGCTTCTTTTGGGAATATGGTTACATATTTTGGCTCCAAGTTTTTGTATTACTTCAATAATAATAATAACTAATATCTTTTTTATTTGTAACAAAATTACAGAAGGTGAGATTTAGATACCAAGATACAAAATCTATTCTACCACCTAAGCCCCTTGACAGTGTGATATGTATAAAAACTGAAAATTTGTTAAACATTAATAACTGTATACAATAACAACAATAATAAAGCATAGTTAATGTAAGGGTTAAAGAAAACATAAGGTCAGTTACCACTTATTGATTACAAAAGATTTCGCTGCTGATCAATTGTTTCTTGAATTTGGGCAATGAATTAGTTTCTTTTAAACTACGATCTAAGAAATTATATGATTTGATTGCATTGTTCTGGAAAAGAGATGTGCTGTGGTATGGGATTGAAAAAGTCTCTCTCTATCTAATATTAATGCCATGCATATTTTCTCTACATTACTTACTACACCACTACCACTACTAAATATGACAATGTTTTTGAGTCAAGAACCAGAAAATAATCAGACTTAGCAGCTGGTATTTATACATTTTTATCAATTTTTATCCGGTTGAGGTTTTAAAGCATTCCTTTTTGTTTTATTTGAGTATACCAACATAATTTTCTGCAAATGGTTCAAACAGAGAACTGTTCAAGTTGGTAAATATCTTGATTAACGTTATTATTCACTATTTCTAAGTTATTACTCTACCATTATGCTGCATGATTTTGCCTCTTGTTTCTAAATCTGACATATACCGGGTGATTTTCTAAAGTGGCTCACCGCTATAACTTTTTTATTATTGAAATTAGAAAAACGAAACTTGGGGTTGCATATTATAGATAAATTTATATTTTTTCTTCTGGTTTGACTGGAAACGACTCCAACTTTTGATTTTTAAATGAGACACCCTATATATTTTTAATGATTTCGATGGAGAATGACACTTGTCAATATTTGGCAAATAAAGTCATTTTTGTTTCAATTTTTATTTTTCGATCTAGATTGCCATGGATCCTGTAAATTACTCCATTTTTGATCAAGTAAACAGGAAAAATACGATTTTGAGACTAACGACCTTACAGCCTTTTTCAAGATTTTCTAAAAGTTACAAACACTGATTTTTTCAGTTTACTTGATTTTTTCAAATAGAAAGGGGGTGGCTCGTCTGCTTTTTCTAAGAGACCATTTTCTGATGAATAGTTTGACACTACACACTCTTATTTTATTTACACTATTTTTCTAAATAATTGTAAGAAATTATCATACCTAACAACAAATAACACATATCTGCATTTGGTATACCTATGCACTAAATCCTATTATTCTAGTTATCTGTGACAAACAATTGAAGGTGTCGCTAGGGTTACTTCAACAAATACATAATCTAGGTTATTAAAAATACTGTCAGATTAAAAAAACTATTTGTTACATAGTTAATTCACAGTGGAAAACTATACTAAAAGCCAGAAAATTGACATGCTGTTGATTTACGGGGAAGCTAGAAAAATGTAATTGAGGCAGCTCGAATTTAGTCTCAGCGATTCCTCAATCGTCGCCATCCTACTCGGCATCACTTTCCAAAACTCTGGAACAGAAAATGCGAAATGAACAAGAATAAAATTCCAATAACTTAATCGTCAGTGAAGAAAAAGGAATAGACATGTTGGCCTATGTTGAAGTAAATTGTACAGCGGTAATTCGGCAAACTGTTTTAAAATGAGGCATAAGTTATTCATCCATTTGGAGAAGTCTTCACAAATATAATTATCGAACATTCAAGTACCAGTCACACCAACATCTTTACATTGACAACCACAACTGAAGATTAGCTTATTCCAACTGGTTTTTGACTAAATACAGGGACGATGGACGTTTTCTGTGTAAAATTATTTATTCAGACGAAAGGCGCTTTACCAACTTAGGTGTGTTCCACCGGAATAATAGAAGCTGCAGGTCACAAACTCATGTCTAATGCAAGAAAGACATTTTCAAGAGCACTTTGGATTCAATTGCTGGAAGAGTATTATCGGAGAGAAACTTTTGGGGTCAATTTTCGATGGACCACTTACTAAGAGATTTTTTTTGTAGGGACATTTATAAATCAGATGCATAAAACTACGTCAGCTACTCGCGAAGAACTGGAGCATAAAGTAAGGGCGGTATTCCGGAACATCCTGCACAATAGTTAATCAATGTGGTGCAAGCAACAAGTGATAAAGTTAAACTTTGATATGATCAAGGAGGAGGCGATTTTGAACACTTAGAACCTTGATGACGCATTTTTTAATTTTGTATGTTATAATAATGATAGGGTATGTATTTAATGATTTTGTATAGGTTACTCCAACATAGGCCAACAAGTATACATATTTCTTCTTCTTCACTTACGATAAAGTTATTCACATTTTAACGTCTGGTTCATTGCACATTTTATATTTCGAAAGCAACACATTCAATTGGTTCTCACAGATAACTAGAATAATTGGATTTGGTGCATAGGTATATCAAAAAAATAGTGAAAATAAAAGTGTGTAGTATCAAATTATTCGTAAGAAAATGGTCTCTTAGAAAAAGCCGACCAGCCACCCCCGTTCTATTTGAAAAAATCAAGAAAAATAGTCTTTGTAACATTTAGAAAACCTTTAAAACGACTGTAATGTCGTTCGCCTCAAAATCGTATGTTTCCCGTGTTACTTGATCAATCATGAAGCGATTTACAGGATCCATGGCATTCTAGATCAAAAAATAAAAATTGAAACAAAAATTACTTTATTTGTCAAATATTGACAGGTGAGGCGTTGTTGAGTTCAGAATGTCATTCTCAATTGAAATCAGTAAAAATACAGTATCGGATAAAAGTAAAGCGACGCTATAATATCATTAAAAAACTTGTTCACTGTACCTCGTATGATGACGAGCAATTTTGTAGTATCAGTACATACCTTGGTTTATCGTATTTAAATATTCTTTGCCTCTTGTGATAACATCGAGAGATAAAGAAATACCTTATATGTTTTTATGCATTTTTTCATGGACAAAAATAGAGCGACATTACCGATATTGTTCATACCATTAGTACATAAACATCGGTTGTGGTCGGTATCAAATGTTATTTTGTGTATAAAATGCATCGCGGTAAAAGTTTTTCTGTTGATCTTAAAGAAAGAATTATTGCATCATATAAGATGGGAATACCACAATATAAAATAAAACAAGAACTGAGGGTTTCAAAATCTGTGGTGTCGAGGACAATTCAGAATTACCGAATTAGGGGTAAAGTAGTCAACCTAAAACAGACAGGAAGACCGAGAAAAACTACAAAGAAACTTGATAGGAGAATTAAGAGGATCTCTCATGCAAATCCTTTTTTGTCAGCAAAACAAATTCTGGCTGAAGCTGGGGACTGTTTATTCTCGGACTATACAGCGCAGACTAGTTGAAACAGGCTTAACAGCATGCAAACCTGCAAAAAAACCGCTTCTTAGTAAGGAGAATATTAAAGCACGTGGTCTGTTTGCAGCCCAACATGCTCATTGGACACCAGATCAATGGAAAAAAGTACTGTTTAGTGATGAGTCAAAGTTTGATTTGCACAAAAGTGATGGAGTTCAATATGTTCGGCGTATTGCAGGTAAAAGACTCGACCCAAAGTATGTCCAAGGTACTATAAAACATGGAGGTGGAAACGTGTTAGTGTGGGGTTGTTTCTCTGGCTATGAAATGGGACCAATTTATCACATTGAGGGCATTATGGATAGGTTTAAGTATAAATATATCCTTGAAAATATCATGCTGTCTTATGCAGAATGGAATATGCCACTACGATTTGTTTTTCAACACGACAATGACCCAAAACATACAGCAAAATGTATAAAAGAATGGTTCAATGAAAATAGAATCACCATTCTTAAATGGCCAGCCCAATCACCCGATCTTAATCCGATCGAAAACCTGTGGGAAATTGTAGATAGGCAACTTAGAACCAAATCCTATAAAAATAAACAGCAAATTTTTGAACAAATTGAAAATATCTGGAAAACTATTGATCAAAACATAATTGATAATTTAATTTCTTCCATGCCTCAAAGGTGCCGCCAGGTTCTCGCAAATAAAGGACTGTGGACTAAATATTAGGAAGGCAACATGATAATGTATTTGTTTTTTGAATATTCTGTTTTGTATTATTTTTATTCTATGCGTCGCTTAACTTTTGTCGTTTAAGAATGTTTGATTTTTCTTTTTCATTTTAGAATCATGTCAATATGGGAGAAGTTTGGTATAGAATGTAATAAATGTATTTGTGTCAATGAATGTATTTGTTTTAATGAGTTTTAATTCCTCTTGCGTTATTGCGTTTTCAATAGAAGAAAAAAATATATCGTCGCTCTATTTTTGTCCGATACTGTATATAGCGTGTCCCATTTAAAAATCGAAAGTTGGAGTCGTTTCCGGTTAAACCGGAAGTACGCAAAAACAAGTGAATATGTCAAAAAATGTAAATTCATCTATAATTTGCAACCCCTAAATTTCGTTTTTCTTCAATAATGAAAAAGTTATATTGGTCAGCCACCTTGGAGAATCACCCGGTATAATGAAAATAACAGTGGTCCTAAGACAGATCCCTACACCAGAAGAAAATTTTTGTGCAGTAGAGTACTGTTGATTTAAACGAACTTTTTGAAACCGGTAGGTTTGAATAAACGAAACAGGTCTTCCAGAAAATTGATAACTGCATTTAGACACAAGAAGTGAATGATTAATTGTGTAAGTATGAAAGCAACTGCTTTTTGGTTGTCAAGCGCCGTTGCTATATTGTCTTAAATCGCAGAGTGCCGAAGTAGGCGCAGAGCTGTTCGTAAACAACACGATCCAATACTTTTGAGAAAATAGGCAGTAAACTGATCAGTCTCCATTGACCATACTTAGTAGGATTAGAACACTTAGGTAGCAGAACAACTATAACATGTTTTCACTGATCTGGGAAATATCTCCTCTGTAAACAGCATTTGATTATATGTGTTAAGTACAGATCAATTTTAGATATATGCAGGGTGACCCCAGAAGTACCCGGCCTGACCTAGAGATGGCGATAGTTGTTTGTAAAATATCATTGTATTAGAAAGTATGGAACCTATAAAGCATATGTGTCAAGTTTGAAGATGCCACGTGGTTTAGTTGTTTAGTATTTGTTTGGCAGCCATCGATACTGAACGTTTTCAGTGAATTTGTGATAATGGAGAAAATTGGTCATCGTTATGTGGTGCAGTACGTTTATTTCAAAGGCCTCAGCCCAACCAATATAAAAGCTGAACTGGATTCTACTCTGGGTGAGTCTGCTCCTTCGTTTACAACAGTAAAATATTGGGTAGCAGAGTTTAAACGAGGCCGTATAAGCTGCCAAGACGAGCATCGCAGTGGTCGACCAAATGAGGTGACGACTCCAGAAATGGTGAAGAAAATTCACAAAGCGGTACTGAATGATCATCGACTGAAAGTGCGCGAGCTAGCAGACATACTAGGCATTTCAAAAAGTGCGGTTCACCGCATATTTTCTGAAAATTTGGACATGAGAAAGCTGTGTGCAAGATGGGTGCCGCGATTGCTCACAGTCGAGCAAAACAGTGTCGTGAAGATGTTTCAATTGAGTATTTAGCGAAGTTTCACAGACACAAAGCAGAATTTTGCGTCGTTTCATAACCATGATGAAACACCCGAGACAAAAGAACAATCAAAACAATAGACTCAAAAGGCTAATAGGCTCTAAAGAAGGCGAAGACTGTTTCATCTGCAGGCAAGGTTATGGCGTCGGTTTTTTTGGGATGCGCGTGGGATAAACGAATTAAAGTTTGAATTGTTACCTCATGCACCCTATTCACCAGATTTAGCCCCCTCGGATTATTTTCTGTTTCCAAACTTGAAAAAATGGCTCAGTGGTCGAAAATTTTCCACCGATGAAGAAGTGATGTCGGCAGTTAATGGCTATTTTGAGGAGCAAGGCAGTTCTTATTATAAAAAGTGTATCGAACTTATTGAACATCGCTGGGAAAAGTGTATAGAGCTCAAAGGAGATTATGTTGAAAATAAATACATTTTTTACAGCATTTTTGAGTTTACTTCGTTGGGTCGGGTACTTCTGGGACCACCCTCGTACAAAGTAGTACTATATGCAAAGTTATGTTATCTGAACCACTATAATTTGACATTCTTTTATGAATGATTATAACAATGGTGTCAATATTCATTTTACTAAATTGAACTTCGTATTTTGAGTTATTTTTATTAGCTCGGTAATATGCAATTTTATCAGCACATCTCAGATTGCTGTTCTCAAAAATTGAAGTAAATGCCTAATCAATTTTATGCGGATCTGATCTTACGGGAATTTGTAGTCTTTCTGAGATTGCACTTTAAAACTCTTCAGGGTTTTATAAAACCTTATTGTAATCTATATACTTTTCTTTGTATAGAAGAGGCACCATCATTAGATGAAGCTATTAAAGAAACCAACATCCAACTGCAAGCAGAAAATCGCAATCTGCAAGCTCTCCATACATCTTTGCATGAAAAATATCACTTAAATAGCTTGAAGTTGGCTGAATTGCAAGATTCTGTCACTGCCAGGGAGACTGAAACAGCAGAACTGAAAAATCAAATTGATGATTTACAGTATGAATTAGAAAAGGTATTAGAAACATAATTTTCTGCTTAACTTTAAATTTGGTTTCACAACATCTTTACGATTTTTTAACAGTCATAAGAAAAAAGTAATTATATAGATTTTTTGTTTCCGAGGGTATCACATTGTTATCCCATTAAAACAGTGAAAAAATTCGAAAAAATCACGCCTGAAAGAAATGCTTCTGAACGAATTAGCAGATCGCAATTTGGAGGTTTTTTTAATTAACTAAACATATATTATGGGGCTTAATGCTTTTCACTCTTTAGTTACGGAGGTAGCGAGAAAATGGAAAAGTTGCTGAAAGTGTTAAAATTAATATTTTTCAGAACCATCAAATTTAAACACATCTCCGGACCCATCCGTTCAGCCAAAGACTCCTCAGAAACAAAAAACCCAGCCTGATCTGAGACATCTCCCATTTAGCAGTATCATGAAAATGATCAATTTTTGTACAAAATATTGAAAATTGACTTCAGAGGCTATTTGGCCATTTTAAAGGCCCAAGTAAAAAATTCAAATTACACAAGGGATAGGCTGCTCATTGTCCTTTACGAAAAATAAAAAATAGTTTTGTGGATTTTTGTTTTGTTTCGGAAGGCATTCGAATTATTATCTCAATAAAGCAGTGAACAATTTTAAGAAAATCACTGTTTATTAAAATACCTACCAAATTAATCATTGGATCATAATTTGTACGGTCTTTTTCAGATCCTTGGACAGTTTTACTTTGGAATAGTTATGTAATATGGGACCTAATGCTTTCCAGGAACAGGAGCATTGAGAAAATTGTTGCTAAAACGTTAATTTCTCATTATTTTTTAAACAAACAAAGTTTGAGTTCGATTATAAAAGGTACTCTCCAGAAAATAAATCTTATGACCAATCTAAGATATGCCCTATCAAGCTAGCTCGTGGACGTTTAGTTTTGACCTAATTTGTATAACGTTTCTCCGCAGATCCGCAACCGTAACGACAAACTGGAAACCCACTTAGCTGAAGCTGTGGAGAAGCTGAAAGCATACCACCAGCTGCACGGCGACGCGGCAACGCGGCAGCTGCAGCTTCGACAGCACCAGCTGCGCAGCAAGACAGCAATTCTAAAGCTACCAGAGAGCAGAATAGGCAAGCGACCATCTCACAAGCGAAGCTGGAAGATCTCACCAAAGAAGTAGAGGAATGGAAGGAGTTGGCCAACAACAGGTTGCAGGAGTTGGACAAGTTGCATCAGACGCATAGGGAAACGTTGAAGGAAGTTGAGAAGCTTAAGATGGATGTGAGTAGACGACATTCTCTTTCTTTTTTCCTTCCCTTATTTCTCCGTGACTTCTAGTACATGCTGGCGCAAACGAACCTTATGGTTCAAGTTCTTCATGACTTTTATTCAAGCTATAATCAAAATTAATTTGTTTTAAAAATATGCTATGGGAAGTTAGGGTAGAAAGATTTCATCTTTTAAATGTTGGCCAGATTATGCTTTTCGTAAGAGTTTGAGTAGAAGGTCAGCGATTTCTTTGACTTTCAAGTACATTGTTTTAGGCTGATAGATAAACACATATTCATTCAAATGTCGTCAAAGAAAGAACCCAGGGGCGGTTAAATTCGCTGAATGTTTAATGGGCTTTCCTCAAAATAATGCGGCCCTTCTTAACAGAACTGCTGACTTCTCCCTTGAAGTGTGTGCTGCAGTTTCATATTGTTGAAATCTCAAGCTTTGATAGTTTTCCGTAGCTCTCATTAAAAAATGTATTATTCTTCGATTTTAAGCAACAGTCATTGTAACTAGATCTTTACAAGAAAGTGCTTACAAAAATGTAAGATTTCTGAACTACCTGTCAGTAGAAGATTCACTACTGTTCTTTGTTGCCGAAAATGAATGAGATTACCTATTCTTGGTGCTGAGTGTTCCAAATCCTTGAATTGAACTAGCATGCACACTCAAGTAGAACAACATACTCCCAGTCGATAATAAAATACGATTATTATGATTCTTTACTGCGTATCAAATTTCCCAAACCTTTACCAATCCTAAAAAGGGAATAAATCCTGCGACAGCAGTAAAGAGGTGGCCGTGATCAACAGGTATATTGTTGTAACAATAATTGATACAGGCACGTCTTCTAGTTGAGTTGCCATTTTGACTTTATGAATATTTTTCAGCAACATGTATTTTCAGATTCGTCAACTTCCTGAAAGCGTCATAGTAGAAACTACGGAGTATAAATGTCTTCAGTCACAATTTTCTGTCCTCTACAATGAATCCATGCAACTGAAAACACAACTGGATGAAGCTAGACAGCAACTTCAGGCTAGCAAGAACGCGCATTTAAGAAACATTGAAATGATGGAGGTAAATAATCAGAACATCAACAAAGTGGGGAAGTAGTTAATACTGTGACATTTATCTTTTTTTGCTGAATCTACTTATGTTTTATTTAATGAGCTTTGGAGTTATGTTATGGAGTTATAAGTACGATTGTGTTAATTTGTGTTTAGAGTGAAGAGCTGATTGCTCAGAAGAAGCTGAGGCAAGAAGTGATGCAACTAGAAGACTTTTTAGCACAGCTGAGGAAAGAATATGAAATGTTGAGGATAGAATTTGAGCAAAACCTAGCTGCCAATGAACAAACTGGTCCTATTAACAGAGAAATGCGGCATTTGATCACATCATTGCAAAATAATACCCAGCAGTTGAAGGGGGAAGTTCATAGGTAAAGTCAATATTAATATGAACTGTGAACATACAATTCAAAAAGGTCTAAGAGTTAGATCCACAAAAAGCAGAGAATCCAACCAAAAATAAATTGTGCTTTGTCCATATCAAGCTTCAATGAGCAAGGAAGAGTCTGTCTCACCAGCTAAAATTTGCTTTTTTTCAGGTATAAGAGAAAATACAAGGAAGCCAATGCAGAACTACCGAAGTTAAGGAAGGAAATTGAAGAACTTCAAACAAAATTGGCTCAAGCACAAGAATTGAGCCAAGATTCCAAGGATAACATCAAAAAGGAGGAAATTAAAGAAGAGGATAGCACAAATAGTGAAGGCTCACAAGTTAAGGAGGAACCTATGGCTGAAGTGAAGAAGAATGAAGGTGAAAACGAGGTAATTGTTTAGGGAACAATTTTAAACTTAAAATATCACTCTACAATTTCCATCTTCATTGTTTTTTATCCTATAAAGCAGTCTGAAGAGACGGGTGACAACAAGGATCAAGCAGCTGGATTGGCTGGTTCTCCAACGGCTAAAAAAGAAGGTGGTGCCAAAGAAAAAGCAACAGTTAAGAAGGATCCAAATGTCAAGGAAAAAGAACACAGAGACGCTCAGCGTGCTAAAGAAGCAAAAATTGTAGAGAGTGAGATTGTCAGAGATCTCAAAAATCAATTGAAGTGAGTTGGGTCACGAAGTCCTTAAATATAAGCTAATTCTTCAACCATGGTGATTTGTTAATTCAAACATCGAATAATATTTTTTATTTCAGGAAAGCCTTGAATGAGCAAAAAGAGATGAAATTGTTGCTCGATATGTACAAGGGCGTTAGTAAAGAGCAAAGAGACAAGGTGCAACTAATGGCAGCTGAGAAAAAACTTAGAACCGAGTTGGAAGAAATGAGACAGACCCTTAAAAAGATACAGGTGAGCTAAGTAAAATTCAGTATGGTTAAGTCATTAATTGTTAGAGGACCTGAGGAGGACCTTAGTGCTTGTGTCATAGTGTCGTATGTGGTATTCCAAGAACCATATTGTTAAGGGAAAAAGGAGAGATAAAGAAGGAAATAATTCTGTTTACCATGCCGAATCCTCTAGGATTCAGTTTGGTATTTGTTTGTTGTTGCTTTTAGTAAATAGTGTTGCTTTTTGAAATACATAATCATACTGTTTTTATATGTATATATTTTTTAGGAGAATAAACGGGACGACAAACGCAAACTAGCTGAAGACGAAGCTTTAAAGAAAATCAAACAACTGGAGGAGCAGAAATACGAACTACAGAAGCAGGTGGCCAATCAGAAGAACGGTGGTTGCGGGGGAGGAATGGGCAGTGGTGGGGGTGATTGTTCGAGTGGTGGAGGTGGACAATGGGGAGGAGTGGGAGGAGTTGGAGGAGGTCCTGGTGGGCATGGCGGAGGAGGAAGGCCGTTTGTAGGGTCGCTAGAAGAGGAGGCGCTGTTGAACGAGATGGAAGTCACAGGGCAGGCGTTCGAAGATATGCAGGTAGTTTGGTTGATTCATTACTCGTATAGGTAGAAGAGTGTTTTACTTCCGGTCAGTTTAGACAGCCGTTCGCTGTTTTATGCTAAATTGCTGACTATTATACAACCTTAAAAGACAGCGAAAGATTAATCAACAAAAATCCGTTTACTCCCTATGTAGATTTTGCTGTTTTACAGGAGCAAAATTCAAGACTGATTCAACAGCTGCGTGAAAAAGATGATGCCAATTTCAAGCTTATGTCAGAAAGGATCAAATCCAACCAGTTACACAAGCTTGCTCGCGAAGAAAAGGACGTTCTCAAAGAACAGGTATTATTCGTTCCCTAAATTGATTTTTTGTTTTTGTTTTGATGAACTTGTTCTTGTCCAATTCACCAAGAATATAGGAAACATAATATTGAAAATGTTACCATTTGTTAAGGTGAGCACATTGACAACCCAGGTAGATGCAGCCAACCTTGTAGTAAGAAAATTGGAAGAAAAGGAGAGGATTCTACAAAATACTCTAGCAACAGTGGAAAAAGAGTTAGCATTGCGTCAACAAGCTATGGAGATGCACAAAAGGAAAGCTATCGAGTCGGCACAATCTGCAGCTGATCTGAAGTTGCATTTAGGTACCATTTATTGTTTCTCATTTTTAAAAGAAAGGCGTTTCAAATTTGGAGTCTAGATAATTGAGTTTATGGTGAAGATTTTGCACCTCGTCGCGGCACATTAATTTTTGATAAGTTATTTGTCTTCGAGGAATATTTTTAAGTTTAACACTATTTTTAGCAATGAATCCATATAATTCATTTGTTGCAGAAAAGTACCATGCTCAGATGAAAGAAGCTCAGCAGGTGGTAGCAGAGAAAACGAGTTCCCTGGAAGCGGAAGCGTACAAGACGAAACGGCTACAAGAAGAAATTGCGCAGCTGAAACGAAAGGCAGAAAGGATGAAGAAGATGGAGTTGGCCGGAACCACTTTAGACGAGGTTATGATGGAGGAGATCAGAGAGTACAAGGAGACGTTGACTTGTCCTTCATGCAAGGTGAGCGAATCCCTCTCTTTGTTTTTGCTTACCTGTTATCTCCCTGACTGTCTAGTTTTTGGGCAATCAAAACTATCAGACCGACTGACTTACAAGACAACCATGCTGAAGATTTATGCACTTTCATTTGTCTTTGAAACCACATCTTTTGACAGTGAAATTATTTTGTAGTCTTGGGTTGTAAAAGGACTTATGCCGAAGCTGAAGTATATTAAGTCACTTTTCCTTGTTGTTCTATCAGCAAGTAGAGGAATGTAATGAACAAAAAACAAATCCCACCTCTATTAATACCTTTCGTCGTCTATACCGCAAACAGGCGTAACTGATTTTATACAAATTTTCAGTAGAAGCAAAATGAATATCGACAATTATTTGATTCCATATATCTTTTCTACTTTGGACGATACGATCATGATTTCTGATACCTCTATGAGCGAACTACTTAGAGTTACGCTACTCTGCGGGATTGAAGATATGCTATATCATGTTGATTTAAATCCGTTAACTTGAATTTGACTTTTTTAATAATATGATTATTGGTTAAGTATTTGTTTTCTACTAGTTTTCTGGGTATTAATCTAACAAAACCTGTTTTATTTTTATTTGTTAACAAATTTACGTGAACTACATTTAATGATTTAGAAGCAATACAAAGTTGTATATTACTATAGCTGTAATAATGTTTTTCGGGATGTTGCACATGTGCCAGGTTGGATTTTCTCAAGAGCTTTCAGCTACATCTCCTATAGCCATCTTCATAGCGCTGTCATCGAGAGCGAAGTGCTCGGCTTGGCGGGTCGACTGAAACTGTCACTGAAGATGGCTACCGCAGATGTAGCTGAAAGCTCTGGAGAAAATCCAACCCGTCCCTGGCGCAACATCCCGAAAAACCTAAATGACATTAAGAATTCGCCATGAAAGCCTTCATTCTTCAAAGTTTTTCCGTTACTGTGACATAATTCCATTTATTTTTTTTTTATATGCAAAATCCTTATGAAAAAAAAACAAATTTGATGTGGTTTTTGGTCAAATATTAAATACTTTGCCGGTACAGAATATTATCTCAAATCCACAATAAGGTGCTCTTTTTTGTTATGGCATAACAACAATCATATTTTCCTTTTGCGTTTTTCTCAAAACCTAATTAATTGCACATAGAACAGGGTAACTCCAAGGTAACGATGTGTCAGGCAATGGTTCTTACTACCGGTGACCAAACAAAAGTTGTTTCCAAATTGTTCATTAATTTCTTTTTCTCAATTTTCGTGAATGTGATATTTGTTAACAATGAATAGCTCTCACAAGTCGATGTAATTATGAGCGGAAAATGTAGCAGAGTTCCCATCGGAAAAATTCTTGTAAAAAAGCACCAATTGGTGGTTGATAAGACGGATCGAATTTCGATAGTACAAAAGCATGGGATCAGATAGAAGTGGATTTTGATGCGTCTTCGAGTTCAGTAACAGAATCAATCTTCTGTTGCACGGATAGTTCAACTTATGAAAGAGACGCGCAACTAAGGTGTTTTTTTAATATTACAGGGGTGTACACCACACGTATACAGGATATACAGGATCTTGATATGCAGTTTCTATAAAGCACTAACGTGAGATAGATTGTAAAAGTTCCATCCTGATGGAAGTCTATTTCAATTTTGGCAACTGTCCACAACATTACAATAAAACAGATTGGCTGATATGTAGCTGACTGGTTTGTATCTTGAATATTTGTGAAATGAAATAAAATACGTCCATTTTTTAATCTTAATATTTTATTGAAACTCAAAACTTATGTATGGAAAATATCAGACAAATGAGAAGCCGCGCAAACCTGAGCTTTCTTGATTACATTTTCGATCACTTTTTGGAGGAATATTTTCAGTTGCTTCCGTAATATTGTTCTTCAGCTGCTCTATAGAATTTGGCTTGCTGGCATAAACCCTAGTTTTCAAAAATCCCCATAAAAAAGCCAGAAGCCGTTAAATTCGGTGTCCTTGATAGCCAGTTGACATCACCAAATCGAGAAATTAAACGTCCCGGAAATATTGTTCGCAAAAGATTAATTGTTTCCCTAGCTGTGTGACAAGTTGCTCCGTCCTGCTGGAACCACATGTTATGTAGGTTAAATTGTTGGATTTGAGGAGCCAGGAAGTTTTGCACCATATCACGGTAGCGCTCACCAGTAACAGTCAGAGAATTACCTGCAGCGTCTTCAAAGAAGGAAGGTCCAACGACATCTCCATACCAAACACCGCACCAAACTGTGACTTGACGAGGATGTTCATATCGAAGTGGGGCTCGTCATTCATTATCAGTTATCGGTAAAAATCGTTATTTTGGGTATTAGCTGCATGACTGTATTGTCGGCGACTTTCATGGTCCCTAGGCTGTAGTTCTTGGGTTAACTGAATTTTTTATGGCCGCAAATGCACGTCTTTTTTAAAATAGTACGAACAGTTCGGTCACGGCCTGACTTGGCAAGTATTTAACTTTACCTGTTTGTTCAAATTTCCGCACCTACTGACGTATGGCGTTGACACTGGGCACATTATTTCGACCGAAATCTTGTCCGAGCTTTCGAATCGTTGCAACAATGGACTATGCCTTTAACTAAAACGTTTTAAACAATACGGACGCGTTGTGGGATCGTGTAGCGCTCCATGATGAATTGGACACATGTGGTTTAAACAACTACTACGACGCCACCTACTGAAATGCGTGTATCAAAAATAGCGCGCAATTTAAATGTCAGTTATATATTGGCGACCCTGTATATACTACAAATAAGTAAAACGTGATGTACGCACTTCACGCCCGAAGTTGATATTTCCACTGAGAGTTAAAAACAAAGCTAAATTGTGGCCTAATTAATTTTTCCTGATTCCTCAACCTCCAAGAATGTATCTGATTTTTTGAATGTCTATAAAATTGACCTCCTATTTTTCATTGTTTCCAGGTGAAAAGGAAAGATGCAGTGCTTTCGAAATGTTTCCACGTTTTCTGCTACGATTGTCTCAAGACTCGCTATGAGACCAGGCAAAGAAAATGTCCAAAGTGCAATTGTGCTTTTGGTGCTAACGATTATCATCGGCTGTATCTCTCAAATTAATTTAATTCATTATTAATTGTACTCGATTTAGTTTTGTAACTTCATACTTTGAATATTAATTAGATTTATTTATAATTTTTATTGTAGTATATGTAATAAAAGATTTTTTAAATAAGTATATCAAGTTCTTCAAAGAGTTGCTTTTATTATTCCATTCTCACAATTATATTCTTTGTTATTTGTAAAAGCTATAGAATTAGCACTAAAAACTCGTATTCGAAATCAAGCAACAGTAGGTTATCCCGCGTAAACTGTGCTATCCTGTCTATATTTCTAGTTATAATTTGGAAAAAAATATAGCTAACCCTATGCTCAGATGATAGATAATGAGACCTTAAGCTTAGTCCACATTTGTATCAAGTAATCGTATCCGTATCAGGCGTATCGTATCGAGTATGCGTATCTTAAGTGTGGACGCCAATTTTGACCATATCGTATCTTTTATCGCGTGAGCCACAGTTCGGCCAAAAACCACGTCCACACTTTATGATACTGTATCTTGATGTCGTATCGTCTCGCCTATCGTCGTATCGATCTTTCATTTCTCGTTGTGATTCATTTAGTCAAGAACTCCCATACAGTGCAGACATGGACCCAGAACTCATCTCCGTTATAGCTCAGAGTGTGGCTACGACATGTGCTTGTTTTATTGTGATGAATAAACACAGGATACAAAAAAGACAGAGCCGTCGTTGGTGGCAGCTAGAATTGTTTAGGAACCGAAACCTACATGGCGGAAGAGCATTGCTGCGTGATTTACAGTTTCAACATATTAGTGGAAAATACAAAAACTTCACTCGGATGTCGCCGACCGATTTCGAGCATTTATTAAGAAGAATTGGACCAATGATTGCAAAGACTGATACCAAATTTAGACAAGCGATCACAGTTACGGATAGATTATGCATCACTCTGAGATTCTTGGCAAGCGGGGATTCTTTCACAAGTTTGCAATATTTATTCAGAGTATCGAAGCAAGCAATAAGTCTAATAGTTCGGGATACCTGTCAAGCTATTGTCGACTCATTAAAAGACGAAATAAAGGTAAGGCGATGTTTTCTTTACTTAATAGTGAAAAAAGACATAATTTTTAAATGTACATAAAAAATACAAACACGTTCATAAATTAAACCTTATTAAATCACTGAAGTCATCGGTGTCTCTTGAGTCACTTTCATTGGTTTCAACCTGATTTGGCGGTATTGGCGTATCACTATTAGAGGATTGATACCCTCCATGTTCACCTTCCCATTCACGATTGGTTGGCGGTTGCATTGGCGTATGATTATTATTAGGAGTAGATTGATATCCTCCATATCCACCTATTTATACAAAAAAATTGTTACTTGTCTTTTTTCAAAAAGTCCTTTTTTCATAGACACACTGGTAATTTCACTTTTAATGTCAATTTCACTCACAATGAGACCAGATACATTTTGAGGAAGGATATTTGAAAAAAAAGGACATATTGCTACCAAGGACATTTTGAGAAAAGGACATTTTGAGACTCGACGTAAACTACCATTTACTTTTGACAACTCTCAATTAAATTTTGAATTTTATTCAGTCTGGGGAAGCCCTGGGCTTGCATGTCTTTTGTGTGGGGAAACGGGACTAACAGTGGCGAGTAAATAAGAAACCGTAACTATTCTAAAATAGCTATAATATAGCTACATACTACTACTTCTGATATATGTGACCTATGAATGATTAATTAACGCCAATTTTTTTTAATTATTCAAAACTATTTACGCCAAAACATTCCGGTCACTGTGATAATTACAAATATGCATTTAGACAGTAATATCTACTAACCTTGACCCGTTGTCTTGGATTTTGCTATCTTTTGTCTTTCTCGACGAAGTGCCGAAAGCAAGTAATCCATTTTTTTCTTTATTTCTTCTGACGGACGTTGCAATTCGGTCCCTAATTCGTCCCAAGCATCTTTTTTAAGTACATAATCTATTATAATAGTTGCGGTTTTGAGGGTTCCACAATATTTCTTTAAGTTTATATGCTTCAATCAATAATTGTATCACACTATCGTTATCCCAACTCATGATTACAAAAGCATCCACGTACAGGAACTATCGGAGGAGTAGCGTGCCTTGCGCTCACGCGAAATGTACACATGTGAAAGCAAACTTGTCTAATCCTGTATTATTGTGTATCGCTTTTGATGATCGGGGAAAAACCGCCTCGAGATGGATCGCGGTGTATCACGTATCAAATGACATAGCCGTATCATGACACGGTATCAAAATGCGTCCACACTAGATCATTCTGCCGATCATGATATGCGTATCCAATACGACACGTATCAGATACGCGGTTAATAGTGATACGAAGTGTATCATGATCGCGATCATTTTGCGTCCACACTAGCGAACATGATACGCGTCGATGCCACGCGACGGAGATCTGATACGCGAAAATGATCAAGTGTGGATCCACCCTTAGAGTGTGGTTCTTTGTACTTGGGTCTTTGATACAAATGGTTGAGGTTTGCTACTACCCCCAGCTAAGGCCCGTATCGTCAGTCGTCCCTACAATTGTAGGGCGCGTTTATGGCCTCCTTGATTGTCATATTGCTTTTTCTCCTTCAAAAATTTCTAGATTACACTTGTCCCGTGTCAGCGTCAGCGCTCTCCTGTTGTGAAGATATGTTTTCTTTTTAAATTGTAGGAAATTTCAGGCTGATAAAACAAGATATAACTCAAAAGCAAGCCCAATTTGATGATGCAAATAGATGTTTGTGACATAACCTCAAAATAGAGTTCTGACACGGAGAAGTAGAAAACTATGATAATCAAGGAGGCCATAAAGGCGCCCTACAATTTTAGGGACGTCTGACGATACGGGCCTAAATGGTTTCCAGCAAAAACTAAAATTTAAAAACAATCACCATGGTAGAGGTGGCTATTACAAAATGGTGGGTTTGATTTCCACACAAGAGAAGGGATAGCTGTTATGGAGCCTCTTGAAGGAAAGCCTACCCAAATGGAAGCTCTGCAGCAAAGGTAACCAAGGGTAGGAAGTTCCAAATGTAAATCAGAACCCGAAGGTATAACCTTAAATAGAAAAAATCACTTGTTCAAAATAACCCGAAATAACGATTTGACTAATAATCCCCCCATTTAATTTGCTTGCAAGAAGTAAAAATTTAAATTTAAACCATTTAGTCTTGAGCTGCATCAATCAAAAAATTTCAAATTAAAACAAAGCTGCTGTTCAATGACGATATGCAAGGGAAATCTTGATTGTACTAGCAATACAAAATTTTTAAATTAACCTGAACTAAATTAAGATACCAGTAAAAAACCTAAGGACTCGGACGTAAAATATTTCACATCCTCCTCAATATTACTTGAGAACAACAGAAATAATTTTAGTAAATATACAACCAAGATCAGAATCTACAGCAATATAAAAATAACACTGTATTATTCTCAGTGTAATATAATAAAGAACAATATATATGATTATATGTTGCCAATAAGGCAACAGCGATGGCCACAGTGGCAGAGTCCCAAGAGAAATGTTTGTCTCTGCTATGGATGTTGTGATTAACCGTAGGTGGTAGATGGTCTCTGATTGTCGTACACGGAGGTACCACCCGATATACAGGGTGACTTTGAAGTTGAGTCATTAATTTTCAGATAATGATTGTAGACGGAAGATAAACCAAAATATGTGTGTAAAAATAAAAAAAAAATTACCTTATTTTATAAAGTATCCTCCCGACAAGTATTTCAGTGCGGACCTGTATTTGATCGTGAGGTCTTGGAGCACCGGCATGCCGTCCATATGTGAGGTCTTAAGTCACCTGATTCACGAACCAGTTGTACTACATTAACAAAGGCACGAGGGGTTGGTTGCACTCGATTGGGAAACCGATCCGCATAAACATGTGCCATTTTTTATTTCGTTTGAGCCACGCAACAGTTACACCACTATTCACTACCGACTGACACTGACTGTATACAACTGAATGAAATAATTGTAAAAACATCGTTCCAAATTCTTTCGCTTTTTTGTTTCCGATGCGATGAACCGGTAAGGCGGATTATATCCGTTGTCGCCAAACACGAGCACATAATATTATTATTGAGACAGGGCGGTACTCAAACTTCCAAAGGGCTATAACTTTGTTACTTTAATTTTACCAGAAAAATGGTAAAGGAAAAAAACATTTCTTTTGATCAGATCTACTCACTGTTAAAATAAATGACTCAACTTCGAAGTCACCCTGTATAATTTGGTGGTGGCTGTGGAGGTAGCAAATCATGATCTTCACTGGATGACGAAGAAGATGCAAGGCACACAGAACCTTCTTACAAAACTCCAATGTAGAGAACAGACAAGTAGACGTCGAGTCCAGAAACAAATATAACGAAGCGGTTAGCAATACCAAAGACCAGCACGATATAAAAGTTAGGCACAGGGTAATGCAGCGCAATGACAGTCGGTCTTTCTGGACGCTGGTCACGCAGATTGAAAGGAACTTCTTACGGAGTAGCCTCCCACCACTTATGTGATGGGGTGGAACGATTGAAACCGACTTAAAGGCTAAGGCGGAAGTGCTTGGCAAGATCTTTGCTGCCAACTCCACCATGGACGTCCCACTCCAATGTCCACGTGCCGTCAATTCACTTTAAAACCGTAAGACGGGTGCTCTTGTCGCTCGACATCAACAAAACTTCTCGTTCGGACTTGACTCCTGCCGTTGTATTGAGATATCATGAATCCTTCCCCGAAAACTGGAAATTTGCGCATGTCTAACCCATGTCAAAAAAGGATCTAAGACCGACCCTTACAACTACAGGCCTACAGCTCTGCTTTCTGTTATACGTAAGGTGATGGAGAGGAGCATAAATCGCGAGCTTCTAGACTACCTTGAACGTCACAGCTTGATTAGCGACAGGCAGTATGGTTTCCGGCACCACGCAATTGTGGAGTAAACTCATCCAGTCTTATAGTGAGGCTCAAGTCGTTGCTCTTGATATCACGAACGCGTTAGATCAGCTGTGGCACGCTGCCCTCTTATGCAAACTGCCATCCTATTGCCTCCCAGAGAAGCTTTGCAGATGGGTAGCTGAGTTTATCTCTGGCCGCAAGATATCCATCGTAAT